GCCACTGCCTCTATCAACTGTACAGTACACATGTACAAACAAACCTGTAGTAAGTATATATAGATCAATAGATCAAGGAGACTCCTCAGCGAGTCCTCCTGTTGTATTCTCACAACTAACTTGTTGAAGCCTAAAGTGTAACCACTCCCTCATCATTATCTCTATAGTTGGTTCTAGTTGTGCGCCAGAGTAACAAACTCTTGGTTATTACACAGCCCAGGATTGAGTTAATCTTCCCTAGTTGGGTAGCTTCTGCGATGACTCATTCTCTGTGTCCTTGGCACTGGACCACAAATAATATCTGTGTGTGATACAGCCACCTGCATTCAGTGTACCATCAATATTATAGATGGGAATAGATACATCTAATTTTACAAGGGGGAGTCCATTCTGCTCAGCCAAGACCTGATCTATGAAAATGCTGTTAGTGCTTGAATCAAGTAGTGCACTTCTTGGGTGTACTGTGCCTCGGGCAAGGTCTTCCACACAAACATTTAAACAGATCTTCTTTTGGAATAAATATGTATGCATCAACAAACACCTTGGGATTTTATAAGAAGAAGTATTGAAAGAAATATGTTTTTCTATTTTAGGATTTTCTATATTTTTACCAGAATCAAGCACCCTAGTAGTTGTCTCAATGAGGCCACACTCCTGGGGAGATGCTGGTGTAGCGGTAGTATCATAAATGTTATAGTCACATTTCTGAATACAAGTAGATACTTCTGATAACAAATTTAGAAATCTACTTACAAATTGGGGAGCCCCCCCCTTTCCTTTATTGCTCGTGCAACACCCCGGATCAGGGGCCACTTTGTTGTGGTTTACTTTATTGTTAAAAGGAGCAAAGGCACCCAAGTGAGCTAAGCTCCAAACTCTTTTCCCAGAGCTTTCATCTCAGCAACCTATTAGTTGTAGAAGGAAGCTCAGATTTTGTTGTGCAAACAACCAGCCAATATATCATAAAATATCAAGGATTCTGATGGGACAAGCCTGATAATGTTTTAATATTTACTTATGCCACATGTTTTTTTGGTTCCATACACTATGGTGAATATTTTACTTCTTCTACTTCCAAAAAGACTTTAAAGTCCATTAGTAGTATCAATTGTACTTTGCACTGCATTACAGGTGAATAGGTAACAGTAATAGTGTGGTGATAGTAGCAATCATTTCAGACACTTAAGATATATTTTAGTGACAACAATGATGGCTGTATAGTGGTGGCTGATACAAGGCGCAAAGTGAGGACAATTGTGGCCCACATAATAGAATTGGAGAGCATGTAGTTATGCATGATGATGATGATGGTGGTGGTGGTGGTGTGACTGAATATCAATGCAATTTCTGTCCTCTCCAGTCAGTGATAAATACCTAGTTTGATTTGGATAATAATAACATGATTTTGAGATGAGACACTTGTGCCTGATGCCTAATGCCTGATACATCTTATACATTAAACAAACCATAGAAAATGATGTACCTTAACTGGCTCCAGCTCTACTACATAAGATACTCAAGCCAACAATTTCAAAAAACTATATTTGATAAAAGTGGCCTTATACTTTGGATTGTATCCAACTCTGGATACTGAAATAGCTGTAGTTGTTATAGGATAGAGGAAAAAATATGAGACAATGGAAATAATGCAGAGTGGATTGAGACATTAGTTAACAGAGAAAAAGCTAGTTTCTTCTCCATTAATTAACTCTTATAATAGTTTAAATTAGATATTTATATATCAAAAGGGAATTCCTTGGTATTTCAACAGTGTAACATTGTGCTCACCTTTTTACAAATGCTATTATGTCACCATCAACATGTTTGATTGATCACAAGAGCCCCTGTTACAATAAATCTTATATAAGATAAGGATATAGATTAGAACACATAACCTGGATCTGGTTAGTGGTTGCCAATACATCCATGCTAGATATGCCACATTTGTTGGTAAACTTATATATATAACACTATGACTGTACTGGTAGGTAAACTCATAATTTTTGTCTTCAGTGTCTAGTCTTACCTATCTTTATCTTCAGCAACAACCAAGCAGTCATGCCAGCCACATACTTGATGGTCATTATAATAGGATAGGATAGACCCTGAGAGTAGGTGGCCAAGGTCCCAACTTGAGTAGTGTACAGACATGTAGTAGAGCCATGTAGACCTCAGACTACCACATATATACATAGTTTGACACCTGGCACTTCCGGGTTTTGTTGTAGGTGCAGTGGCAGCCTGCTTCACATTCCAGGTCCTGTCAGGTTGTCCTATTCCAATGCTAAGGCCACCACTTCTTAGATTATTTTGACAGCCAACTTATGAAGATCAAATGTGAACATCAAAATAATTACAAAATCACCATCACATCAACAGTGAGATACAACAGTATCACAGACAACAAAGAAGCCAATAACTCTCTCATGTGGTGGAGTTGGTTATAAGGGCTGTGCCCTATGACATCATCAGCCACCACACCTAGCAACTGTATAATATATCTACACAAACAAACTGTAGTAGTATATATACCCCAATAGATCAAGGAGACTACTCAGCGAGTCCTCCTTTTATTTACCCACAATTAACTCAGTGCTACCCTAAGGGAGATTATTCTCTCCTCCACTCACCTCTTTTTGCTTGTTGTAGTTGTGCACCAGAGTATAGAAATTGCATTGACAGTATCCTGCACCGTATTTACCTTTGCATTTTCACATACAGTGCTGACTATCATGAGAAATATTCACTCACTATAAGTGTGTGAGCAATGCTAACCAGATATTTTAGTATTTTACTTTTAAGTATCCACAATCTAAGTCACTGTCCATGTCCACAATGCTTGATTGTGAAGACCCAAATATCAAATATTGGTATACCTCAAGATCTAGAGATACAAAAAACATGGGCTTGTGTTGATAATGCACATTGCCAAGCCAAAGCATCTGTAGCACAAAAACTCATATATGATGACAACTATGCCATCAATAGCACAACTGTGGAAAGACTGCTCAAACAGGAATCTCTTACTGACAAGGGTATGTTACAATTGTCATAGTTGTTTTATTTTCTCTACTAACTTGATGCTTGTGTCAGAGCTCCCTTTCACAAAAACTCGCACCACTTAATATCAACATGTTCTCATTGTTTCCAGGTAATATCTTATACAAAATTGAACTAGGCATGTGGAAAGCAGTGTTTATATACACATATTGCGCTGTCACAATGTGCAATTGGCTATTGAGTTTGACAACTAGTACAGAAGTTTTATCTAGATTGTGAAGAGTCTTGATTATTCCTGTAGTTTTAGGAATATTCCATTGTTTGGAAGAAATACAATAAGAAACTTTTTATCCAATGTTTCAGAGATGACAAGGATAGCAGGACATGATTACAAGGATTTCCTCCAGGTAATAATTTACTGGCACCCAGTTGATTCATACATGCCAATTAGTGTTCTAGTGTATTATTACGGCCTTTAATGGGCTTATTCCAGAACCTCATAACAAACAAGTACTAGGCCTGCTATTTATCATGGCACAGTAGCACACTAATAATACCCTGACTCTCCTAGAGCAGTGCACTGTCATGTTTGGACAGCAGCTTTGTACTGTCCATGCTGTAACATGTACTGTATTTTCCATGAAGGAACTCCCTCATAAAACTGAAGCTTGCCATTGATGTCTCACCAAGAAAATAACCAACAGTTCTTTTGATAGTGCACCATCAGCTTCAAAAGTTCAACATCACAACTTACAAAATTCATGCAATTGGCAACTATATGTCCACTATCAGAAGGCTACTAACTTGTATTCAATACAGATTGTCAGTTGGTCTACCATCTTTCTCTATATTTTCTTTTACTAACATATATTACACACCGACTAGGGTAAACTTGCACATTGTAGGCTAAAAAGGTCATGTGTGAGAACCAATATTGTGGAGGAGCATAAGTGGATAACCAATTTTAAGTTTGAGGTGCGCTTCAGGAAGGCCAGATACTTGCAAGGAGTTCAAGAATTCCACAGGATAATTTTCATGCCCCTTTCCAACCACTTTATCAATTGACAGAGCTACTAACTCTTCTCCAGGGAATGTTGTGAGGATTGCTGAATTAAGGTTGCTAATGGCATCATTTAATGTAGAGAGGATGGTGCAGTGGAGGAAATGATGGTTATCTTGGTCTCCATTTGTAATTCCAGGATAGGTAGTGTCAACTAATGAGTCTATGGTGTTTTCTGGCATAAGTATGTTGGTGGGAAGCTCAATAGTTCTATAGTTGCTGGTGTAGCGCCATGCCCCCAATTATTCTCATTACTTAGAGAAGAGGCAGTCTGTGGGTCGTGAATGTAGAGCTAGCCAAAAGAGGGAGTTTCACCTTCAGGTGGATGGAATGTGC